ATTAGAATGAGTTATATATATGTTTCCATTACGACGTTACTTGTATGTATTAGAATGAGTTATATATATATGTTTCCATTACGACGTTACTTGTATGTATTAGAATGAGTTATATATATGTTTCCTTTACGACATTAGTTGTATGTATTAGAATGAGTTATATATATGTTTCCTTTACGACATTAGTTGTATGTATTAGAATGAGTTATATATATGTTTCCATTACGACGTTACTTGTATGTATTAGAATGAGTTATATATATGTTTCCATTACGACGTTATTTGTATGTATTAGAATGAGTTATATATATGTTTCCATTACGACGTTATTTGTATGTATTACAATGAGTTATATGTATGTTTCTATTACGACATTACTTGTATGTATTAGAATGAGTTATATATATATGTTTCTATTACGACATTACTTGTATGTATTATAATGTTATCACATTTAAAAGTTGGGGTCATGTGATTAATCATGGCTTTCCTTTTCAGAAACATGATTTGACGGTGGCCATAAAAAGTATAACGAAGAAAAATTTGGCAAAATCACAGAATCTTCTGGCGAAAGAAATCAAAATACTGAAGGTTTGTATGTGCATCACCTAAATCCTGGTGTGACGTCACTCCAACTTACGTTTGTGTGTGTGTGTGTTGTTTTTTTTTAGATATATATGCATACAAGTTTTTATGTTCATTTCTTTGATTTTTCGGTATTTCAGCTTATTGGTTTATTACCATCCTCGCCATTCATTTTACAGAAACAAAGACATCCTTCTACATTGTCACTTAAAACTCACCCAACCACAAGGAGGTCGGGCGTGGGGAGTCGTTCTCGTGCCTGACTGTTGGCCAGATGATCCTTGGTTCTCGTGCCTGACTGTTGGCCAGATGTCTGGCCAACAGTCAGGCACGAGAACCAAGGATCCTCTGGCCAACAGTCAGGCACGAGAACCATGGATCCTCTGGCCAACAGTCAGGCACGAGAACCAAGGATTGATCCTTGGTTCTCATGCCTGACTGTTGGCCAGAAGATCATTGGTTCTCGTGCCTGACTGTTGGCCAGAGGATCCTTGGTTCTCGTGCCTGACTGTCGTCCAGAGGATCCTTGGTTCTCGTACTGACTGTTGGCCAGAAGATCATTGGTTCTCGTGCCTGACTGTTGACTAGAGGGTCCAAAGTTCACGTGTCGTTGCCTACAATCGCGCCCTGCACTTTGGAGCCGTGTGTACGTTATAAGAGAGAGACGGTCAAACCCCACTTTTCGATGAAAGTAGCCCAAGAGTCTGTAGTGGGCAAGGCTTTGAGACAGCGTGCGTCTAAAGGCCTTTGGTACTGGTCAAAATTAGAAACGACTATATCACATATACAGACCTCGTGGCTTTGCGCAGATATCTGAAACTAACAATTACTGACCACTAAGGTTTATATACATCTTCTGTTTCAGTCCGATGTTTCGGATCCCTGGCCCACGTCCCGGCTAACACGTAACTATACCAAATCCTGGTATCGTTTGATTTGATTTATTTTTCATTTAAAATTGTTTTTCATCACACTAAGTATTATAGCCTTTTTTCTAAAAAAGTAATTATTTCGAATTTCTGGAAAATTGTCCAGCTATAATATACATCCCACTGAAGTACTTTACGTAGGGATGTTTGTTTTTTTTCTTCGTCAATCAAAATAGGAAGAATTTGGAAATTTTAAACATTTTCTTCCAAATAAATGAACTGGTGAGCGTGGAAAGAGTATCAAATCAAATGTTTTTCTTCCCAATTATTACACTGGAAACCGGGTTTCGTTACCTGTGGTGGGCAGAGCACAGATAGCCCATTATGTAGATTTGTTCTTAACTACGTACAAACTAACTTTCCCCAGACAGGAGCTGGTCACCCTATTAACACATTTTCTTAGCCTGCATAAAAAATGTAAATAGTTTGTTTGTTTTTTGTAACTTAGTTATTTACGTTTGGACATGAATTACATTACTACAACTAAGGCCTTTTTAACATAAGGTTAATATTTATTTCGTACACAACAGACCTAAAGGTTATGTACAATAACCCCACAACGCTTGGATTATCCTAAGATAAGGACAGGAGATTAACAGAAACATTTAAAAATAAACATCATTACGCAACAGTGTTGTGGACTTTTCATCGTGAATACTTTTAAATACGAAGCAGTGGTAATAAAGCTGTGAGTTTATACGGTTGTTTTCAGTGGAGAACGTGATGTTATCAAACATTGAGTTGTTTGTAAACAAACTGGATCTGATGATCGCGCTCAGCCAGTGTCCCGCAAGGTCAGCCAGCTGCCGTCAACCCTTTCTTTGAGAAGGAGTGAAAGGGGTGCTCTTGGCAGTAAGGAAAAGTGGGTCATGGTCTGAAGTAAATGTAATTCGTTTAGTGATTTGAATGTAACCCACTTTTTTTTCTTTTTACCGTGGCCCATAAGGTTAAATGATGAAATGTTCCTTTAATATCAGAAGCACATGACAAGCGTTGAACAGCTGCGTTTCGTGTACTTGAATTAATATAAAAAATATATACAGTTTGTTGTATGACTTCGGGGACTGAAGTAGTCATGGAAACTGCCATAGGAATGTAAATCCGAATTAAATTTGTGCTTTGAATATTTTAACTAATGAATATGAAAGATGTTGTAGCACGAAATATACTGAATCAGCCACTAGAAGGCTCTGCGATTGGGTAAAAGGA